TTAATTCACTCCCAAACATGATGAATTCATGGACTATAACTCAAATATGGACATGCATGCAAGAATTTCCATGAAAACAACTCTAAACTTCAAGATATACACATGCATGCATGATACAAGCTTTAATTCAACAATTTATGACCTTAGGCTCCTATCTATCATGAATCATGCAAGAACCAACTTGATTTCACAATTAAAAGGATGAAATCCTTACCTAGGTTCCCAATTTCAAATGTAAAAGCTCAAATATGTAATTTGCCTTCAAATCTCTTAATCTCCAAGCCAAAACAAGATGAAAATCACGCTATCTCCTATCTCTCTCTCTCTAGTCGGCTAGCTCTAGATGGAAAAGGGTGAGATGGTGTTTGTAATGCAACAATTGAGCCCAAGTCAAAGTTGTAGGAATGGCCACTTAATGACTAAAGGGTAAATAAGCCAACTAATGTAATTTATCAATAATTAATCTAATTTACCCAAACCAAATCACATTTCAATTAAATATACCATAAAATCACATAAATTCCAATTAGCATAAAACATTAATCAATTTCGGATTCGACCGCCGATAAGGCTTTCAATTTGCAATTTAAACATAATACATGAACAGATAATTTAACAGTTAAACAGATAGACATGCACTTAAACTACTACACACAATCAATTAACTCAGAGTTTCAATCGATTCAGTTACTTATCATGATTAGTCTTAGTTTAGCAGTAATAGTGGTGTTATCAGTAAACAGTAGTGAGGGTTGTCACACATAACCATTCTACAATAAGCAATGCAATCTTGCACCAATTGCCAAAATAGATATCTCTAAACAATATATAAATGTACTTCTATTGACAACACATTCCACACTAACAATCCCAACTACGCAAAAATAAACTCATAAATTGATTATTCATTCATTAATTATGACATTTCCAAGACTTTTGATGATTTCCATTACTTCCAATCTAATCGTGCTTCCAAATTTAATTCCTTTTATTTTCAATTCTACTTTTTAAAATAATATCGAACATTGTTTTGAGCTCTAATGAAATCACCTGTTTTAGCCATATTAAAGCATAATCAATGAATTTAATTCAATATACGATATACATTTCTCAAGTATTTAAGCATGTATAACCAACACTTGGTTTCTATATTCCAACTTTCATTGTTTTCATTTATCTATCATCTTCCCGAATTACCATGACAACATACAACTTAACTTTTTAGACAACACTCCCTCTTGTTTCTAATTTCAATAATCATAACTTAAATCAACTAATCCCATTTATCTATTTATTTACTTTCATCAATGGTATTTCGATTAATTAACATTAACATCAATTTCACATTTACACAACAATAACTCTATTACATCTCTTGAAATCATTAATTTAAAATTTAGGGCTTTCTATTCTAAACATTATAAACATGCTCCAATAGTACCAATCTACTATACTAATCAAGAAATCACAATGTTCAACTCCTCAATCCAAAACCCTAAATCTCATTTTCATGATTTTTCAAAAATACTCATCAAAGTCTTCTTTTTATGCAATATAAAATACCACATATCCATATATAACAACTATAGTAAGAAAAAATAGAGAAATCCCTACCTCAAAGATAAAAGAGGAGAAAAAGTACAAAAGAATCAATTTTGCTAGAATTTGATATCCACTAGTCAAAATGTAGCTCTTAGAATGCTCATCATTTTGGTATAAGGAACTAGTATCAAAATCTTGCTTGATCTTGGTAGATCGAAGAGAATGTCAAATTTGGTGAAAGTTTAGAGAGAAGGGAGAAAAAAAGAAGTTAAAGAGAGAGAGATGAGAAAAGGTTAGAAAGAGAGAGAGAGAGTGTGTGTGGAAAGAATACAAAAATTGATGCCTGGACATACAAAATTCGATCATGTGGATCTTCAAACTCAGTGAAGAATGGCTTTCTCGCGAAATCCGCTCGTGTGGAATTCATATACCATTCGTGTGGATTTGACCCTGACAGCTTTTACTGGGTGCATTTCAAACAAGCTTATCTCCCTCGTTTGAAATCGGAATATGGTCAACTTTGTGTCTAAATTGAAGCTCCAAAAATAAGCTTTTCAACAATTTTTTCGTTACATCAAGATTCAAAATATGGAGAGAGAAAAAGGCAAAAGAGTGAACACTACTCAAAACAAATATTTGAATTTGAGATTTTTGGTCAAATCTTGTTAAACCAATATGTTAACTCATTAATCAATACTGCAAACAATGAGGAGGATTTCCCAATTATAATAACTAAAAGGTCTAATACAACCCATAACTTTTCAAAAGTCTAAAAAAAATAATATAAGTATAAAGTAACAGTTACCACTTAATATATTACCTGACTTGTTGTAGTCAGGTATAAACAAGTCAGTTACCATTCGATTATGCACACTTCTCCTACAATGACAATGAGTGAAAGGTTTTTTGACAACCACAACTTCATGAGACAAGAGGATTACAAGAATGTAAATTTAGAGGAGGTGCATAGCTTTGATGTGTTCTCTGCTTGGAGGAGGTTGACCTTGTAAGGATAAGTTTCTTGAAAAACACGGCAAAAATGATGAAACTGTTCATATATTTTTTCAGTGCTGAACTCTCGAACATATGACCGAAATTTGGGAACACAGGCCCGAACATTGGTTATCTGTTCAGGAACATTAGTCCGAACATGAAAATTTGAAACACTTTGAAAGGTTAAAATAGTTTACATTTGCAGGAGTTTTCATTTGATCAAGTTCGAGAACACAAGTTTGAACATTGGTTATTTGTTTGGGAAGACAAGCTTGAACATAGCTTATTTGTTTAGGAATACAGGTCTGAACATTCTCAATGAAAGAGAGAGGAGAGAAATTTCGAGGAATTGGAGAGAAGCGAGATTGAGACTGAGCAAAATGTAAATTTGCTCCCTTTAAACTATACATACATAAAAATATATGCTTATATTTGTTGTTTTTAGGGTTTTGGGTTGATCAAAGAAACGGATGGAATTGACGGAAGACATACGCACCTAATGCGAAGAAAAAAGTGAAGATCGCAGAGAACACGTTCCTTAAACCAATCGATTCACTTCAGAAACATTTTTCTTCCATCGTTGTAGGATGGAGAATGGATTTTGATGATTTTTTTTTTTTGTTAGGGGTTTAGGAGATAATGATTTTTAAGGGTGTGGGGGTGTGCATTTGAGTGGGAGTGAAATTTTTCTAAAGATAATAATGGTATTATTTGGAGGGAGAAAAGAAATTTTAAGGGTTTTAAAATTTATAAGTGAGGGTCCAAAATAATAAATAGGGTGCTAATAGTAGCATTCTTCTGTAAATCCAAAGCTATCCAAATGTTATAAAGAATATCCAAACCCAAAATATTACAATAGGCAGAACAAAGGTGAGTTGTAACATTCTCAAAGTAGCAAGAATAATAGAAGCGCAAATTGGGCAAAAAAAAAAACATGCCTTCTATAGCAAAGCAATTCTTATATATATATAATATATATATCATATTTATAACATTTTTATTATTGAGTAAAAAAAAAGAAAAAGAAAAAAGGATTGACCTATAAATCTCATTTGGATGACTTGCGAACCTTGCAGTCTCCAATGTATTTTAATAATCTCAGAAGTCTCAATTTGTGGTGATTTATGTTTTTGCCCATAAGGTATGACATTAATGTTGATTTATGAAGATTGCGTATGTTATAATTCTGTCACCTTTAGAACAATGCACTAGTCTTTTTTTGGTTGATACATTAGTTTTGGCCCACCCACATCACTCACATCAGATTTTGGGCCAAAACTATCCAGCTAAAAATTTGTTTGTTCCACCTCTATTTTGGGTCAGGCCCACAATGATATTCGAAGATACAGAGTACCAAGCCATGCCGGAGCAATTCATGGGCGGTAGTCAAAGTGTTCATGCAACATTGTTTTTATGTCGTCGGATGAAGTGTGAACACATTCACATTATGGTGAGGCAAAACCCCCCCAACATGTTGTCCGATCTTCAATATTCAATTTTATTTGAAACCCAAATCTTCAAGCGTTCGTGTTTTTCGAAATCAGAGCGCATCCGATTTGGTCCGAAACTCCAAATGCGAGTTTTACTGTGGCGACCACATAGGTAAATCACATTTGCAAAATTGATCGTATTGTATTGTGTATCCAGATTTTTAGGGATGTAATTGGCAGTCGATCTTGATGTGAGCAGATTCAGAACCCAAATTGACAAATGGAAAATACCCCCACAACCCACCAAATCAGGGTCTGTTTTGGAAAATACCCCAATACTGGTCTGGGGTTTCTGGTATTTGAAGTGTGGGCAACACATTTGGGATGACACAAACATTTGTTTTGTTAATGTTAATTTTGATTTGAACGTGTGACGTTGGTGTTTTTGGCGTATACATAGACGTTTTACATTTTGTTTTGGTATTGTAATAACCCGACCCTCGTCTATGATTCTGGTATACTTTCAGTTCCCTTATTCTGTATATTTATATGCTTATTGTGAAATTCCATGTGGAATTACGGTTAAGTAAGTAAATCTCATGTTTAAGGATGTCTATCTGTTGAACAATAAAAGTATCTGTTACATGTAGAATGTTTGAAGCAGAAATTGGAAGCCTTAACGGCTTAATTATCTGAAATTGATTATATATCTGTGATCAGCATAATTTTAAAGTAATATTAAGCATGTTTACGAAATTTCAATTTTGGAATGATTAAACTATTAAGTTTTGTCTTATATGTCATTATTTGTAAATATATACACCCAAATCTCTTGAGCCTTGATAAAAAAAAAAAGAAAACGTGAGGCATCTTTTGGAGAGAATAAGGGTTGAAAAGAAGGGGAAAGGAGAACAAAGACAAGGTTCAACAAGGAAGGAAATTGAGGTTAAATTAGGAGATCAAGCTTAAGGTATGTTAAATTTAGTATATATGAGAATTATCCTTTCAATTGTGAAGAAGAGTTGTTCACTGGCCTTATTATTTGATTGGCTAGACCAACTTAAAATACAAAAGATGACATGGACAATTACTATTTTTTATTTGTTCATTTTATATATTTTTTTAGAGGGTCAATAAAACTTTTGTTTGACTATCTGATGCAAACAGCATGGCATGTGCTGTTCACTTGTGCACACTGTCAACATGTAGAACCATATATCTAGCTTATGAAGATGCTCAAAATATTGAGGAATAATTTAAATATTAAATTTTTTTTACAAGGATACAGGATGTGACTTCAAGAATTAAGAAAAAGGAAAGGAAATAAAAAAATTATAATTAAGAGAGAATTTTAAATTATCTAAAACTGAAAAAGCATGTAGAAAAACAAGCAAATAGGCATCATTGTTATGGTGGTTAACAAGGTAGAGCTCCTGAGGGGTTTAAGGTGAGAAAATAAGTAAAACCAAGGAGGCCAAAGATATAGAGTTACACGAGAATACAGGTTGTAGAGATTTAGGAAGCTTTGTCGTGCCAGGATTTTGATCCTCAATTTGTTTATAGGAAAACAAGTTGGTAAAAAATTGATCTATCAACATTGTTTAGCAATTGATCTAAATTTATATGAACGTGGTCTTCCTTTAGCTTATGCCAAAAGTCTGGGGCAACCAGAAGGCACTTCGCTTGTCTATATACTTAATTGCAGTGGTTGCAGAAGAAATTAGAAAAAGTCCAAACATGATTTTTTTCTTTAATACAAAAACGTTTTCTGCTGTGCCAAACACTAGAAAATACTATAAACATTACCTGATGAGAGAAAGAATAAGCCAGTGCTCTCTCTCTTCTGATGGCTGCCTCATACTTGCCAAGTAAGTTTGCTTCAATCTGTTCTTTTGATTGTAGACTGTCATCCCATTCCTCTCCTATCTGTTTACAACATTAAAACCAATTCTGTTCAGATGAAGGCACAAAGTGAAGAACTAACAAAAGAGCAATTTGTTTCTGGATAAAGCACAGAACAAATAAACAAAAGAACACTTAGCTTACTGTTTGGTTCTTGGATTTGAATAGGGATTTTATGAAGTAAAAGGAAAATGGATTCATTTCTCTCCACATATCCCTACTCGAATCTAAGATCCAAACACAGCATTTAGCTGAGGTTTTCTATTGGAAAAGTCTTTTGTTCATGATAACTCAAATAAGAAACTATTTGGAAACTGGAAAATCTAGTATGCAGTGCCTGCCAAAAGTTCAATTGAAATGATACTGAATCAGCATTGCAATTTGCAATCCTATGTGCATTTCACCAAATACACATCCTGGGGAACTTCTTAGCAGGTCAGACTTCTACAAAAAGACACAGTGTCTGCCTAATATTACACAACCGATTTAGATTGCATCAAATTCATTCCTAGTCCTAGATTACCAATAGCATCTTAAAATATGCCCGGTGACACACTCAATGCTACATCACATACTGGGTTACGTAAGTAAAGCAATTTGGAAGACATGAACGAAGAGTAATGAAAGATAACTAACCTGCAAACTTAGTTCTTTTGCACGTTTCTGTAGGAGCTGTCTCTGGAGTGCCTGATTCTCTTCCGACATCCGGATCCTTCTGGACTGGATCTGAGATTGCACACGGGCTAGAGTCTGCATGCATCTTAAAGCATTCGAAGTTCGCCGTATCACAGGAGTCCCTTGTACCACTGATTTCAGCCTGACAAGCCCTCTCAAAGCCCTCAATGCCCTTCTTGCCATATATCCACGGAATGCCGTTTGAATTTTGATTACGGCAACTTCCTCCTTCCATTCACCTGTCACCTGAGTCATGGCAGTGGGAAGAATAACCTCTGCAGCAGCTTGAACCGCTGCAACGGGAGACTCGGCCTCAACGTCGTTCGCAAGGCCGTCGACGCCCCGCCGGCGCGGCGGAATTCGTCGCCACCAACAACCTCCGCGACACCGCCGCGATCGCCTCCGCACGCGCCGCCGACCTGTACGGGCGGCAAATCCTGAACTTCTCTCTCTTGAGGAGAATAAAGAAGAAACGAGACAACAAAACGGGGGGGGCTCTCTCTATCCCACTCGGTTGCCCTTTTCATCTTTTAATTTATGTTATTTTTTTACTTTATTCCGCCACTCTCACCACACCCCACTCTCTTCTTTTATTTAAACATCTAAAACCCTCTCTCCACTCATTCCTTTTATTCTTTTTATTATGCACATACTTTCCATTACTATATTCTTATTATTATTCTTATTAAAAAAAAAAAAAAAAAAAACAAACCAAACAAAATTTTCCAAACACCATTGCTGTTTTTCACAAATCCGTGTGATAAAGATTTGCACACCAAACCTTACCTTCTTTTATTCATCTCAGGGATCCACCCCGATCACAATTACACCAAAAAAAAAAAAAAAAAAAAAAAAACAAACAAACAAACACCAACAAACAAAACACCCACATCCACAGGCGGGATTTTTCTTCCCTACTCTGCCGCCGGTCTCTTCTTCTTGCCTCCGTCCTGAGCGGTCCTTGCCGGTGTTGCCGCCGTGCTTCCTAATCCACCGAGCACATTCACAACTCCCTGCTCCTCCACTGCAGAATATGACGGACCTCCAAAACGGAACATCACGGTGGCCTTCCGCTTCAGCTCCTTATTTTCCGCCTTTAGCACACTTATCTCTGCTCGCGCATCCTTATACATGCGTTGGAGCAGAGCCAGCTGGGAGTTTAACTGCTGCACCTCATTTGCCCTACTCTGCAGCCGGTTCGACAAGTTTGTCACCGCAGTCATGGTTTCCACGCATGACTTCAAAGTATACTGATTGGCCTCCACATCCGACAGCACTGCCATTCTTTGCTCCACAGACCGCATCGGAAAGTTCAACGGAGCAAACTCCGGGGCACTTGGTTGAGGTTCCAGTGCCACCGCTCCAGTAATCTCTCTTGTTGACTCGTTGAGGTCGGGAAAGCGTGAGCAGACCACGGGACGAGGAGGCCATATTCTGGGTAGCTGAACGGGAAGACAAGGCCATGTTATGGGTTGCTGAGTGTTTCAGAGAACGGTTGGTTACAGAATGTTTACAGAGTGTTTCAGAATGCCAATGTTCAGAGGTTTCAGACTAGTTTTAACAGAGTGTTACAGAGTATCTCTCTCAGCAAAACGAAGAGTTTTTTCAGAGGTTTTTCGCAGGTCTGTCTCAGCCTCAGCCTCAGCCTCCGTCTTGGTTAAATAGCCGAGGCAGCCACGCGTACACTGACGACGCGGCCGACACGCCGCTCTGTCGCTCAAGTGCCTCGCCGCGTCTCCGGCTCACCTTTTGATGGCTCGACGCTTTCTGTCAGGCACGCCTTTTGATGAAGTGGGCGCGCCTTTTGAGGGCGTGACTTTTGAGGGCTCACTATATATATCCATATATATGTATATTTGGGCAGCCTATATACACCATCATACAGTGTATTTTTTAAGAGTCCGACAAGACTCTATAAACTGTCCCAACATTGATTCCGGTTAGCTCCTTCAAGGGTCCGACAAGACTCTGTAAACTGTCCCGACATTGATTCCGGTTAGCTCCTTCAAGGGTCCGACAAGACTCTGTAAACTGTCCCAACATTGATTCCGATTAGTTTCTACAAGGGTCCGACAAGACTCTGTAAACTGTCCCGACATAGATTCCGGTTAGTTTCTACAAGGGTCCAGCAAACGTCTTGCAAAGTTGCCCCTAGGGAAACATTGCTGACTTTAATGGTTCTTATCGACATCGAGAGAATCAGGGATCGAATGAGAGAATAGGACGATCTGGATTGGTGATCTTCAACAATGGATGGACGAAGGTATGTGTACAAAATTTTAGCAGACTAGGTTGAGGTCCGGCGGACAGCTAAGGTGAGGTTGCCGCCTGCCGGTGAAGCGAAAATATTAGGTTCTAAACCTGCTCTGATACCATGTTGAAATTGATGTATAGAGAAATAGAGAATTGTATTATTGATTGATATAATGTTATATATATTACAATGATTCATGATTCCTATATATAGAAGAGGGTGAGTGTGTAGTAGGTAAGGAGTAGGTGAAGTGGAGGTGGTAGTGGTGTAGTGGGTTAGGTTTAGTGGAGTAGGTGAGATGGTAGTGGTGTAGTGGGTTAGGTTTAGTGGAGTAGGTTTAAGTGGGTGAAGTAGGTGATAGGTTTTAACACCGACCCTTTTACCATTCTAAATACACAGGTAACATAACGCCACGATCATAACATACAGCGAAAGCAATAGTTAAGCAGAACTTATAATTCAATTTCAGTTCTCACGAATAATAGTTAATTTTAGTTAGTTTTAGGCAACTCCCCGCGGAATGCCGTTCCTACCCAACCACTAACACTGGCCACGGGTAATTCTGACTCCCTCTTGGTTAATACAATACCAATGCGTCGCTGACCGCATAACCACCAGTGCGTCGCTTACCGCACAATTACCAATGATGTCCACACACCTAGGTTACATACTCGAGTGGTGACATCACGGTCTACCCTAAGGAAACGGGCTTCCAGGGATACTCTCCCTATGTGAGACCCTCACTGCCACCCTTATGCCTCCCATTTCCGTTAAGCAACCAGAATACCTCCCGTGCCATGTTAGGGTTCAAAAACACACTTGCGCAAAACTTCACAAAAATGGAACACATTCCACTATATCATACTCTTGAATCCATCGTTCATTATCTCATAAAATTTAATACATTGATCGCAACCCATTACCATCCCATTTGATTTCCCCTTTATTAAGTGCATTATGTTCTCAGTTATAGCAAAGCATGGTCAGTATAATTATCAATCCAAACTAAACAATAAGTAATTTATTCATGATAAAGCAAATTCACAATTTATCATAGATTACATATCGAGACTAAAACATTCAAGAAGCATAGAATATAAGAGTTGCAAACCAAATAAGAGCATAGTAACACAAATTTCTAGAATTCCAGATTTGAACCAGTTTGAAAATAATTGGTTTACCATTAGTATGCAACCCACATAAGAATATGAATCATTCTATTTTGTTAAGTGCATGATAATGACATGATATAACAAGAAAAGCTCCGTTTTCCATTAACTTAATGATTATTCATATATGTAGAAGTATTCACATCATCTCTAGCACAAGGCCCTTACCCAGGGGTAATAATACTGTGGTTCAAATAATTAAGTTACAAGTTTACGTATGTTCTAAGTTTAAGTCTGTTATAAGTTTACGTATGCTCTAAGTCAATAATGTTACAAGTTTATATATGTGTGACAAGTTCCAATATGTACAAGTTTAAGTAAGGTTACAAGTACAAGTATATACAAGTTTAAATGTGTTACAAGTTTTCAAGTTTAAGTATGTTATAAGTTCAAGTATGTCACAAGTTTAAGTGCGTTACAAGCTTAAGTATGTTACAAGTTTAAGTACGATACAAGCGTAAGTATGTTACAAGCTACGTTACATGCTTATATATGTACAAGTTCAAGTGTACTATAAGTTCACAATGTTGAGGAATTTCTTTATGGAACTAACAAGAATGCTTTTTATTGATTTGCCAGCGCTATTAAAAGGCTAAGTATAAGTAACTATGAATTCTGATTTCTGTTAATGATTCAAGCATAGTGCATATGTATGAATTTATTTCCGTTTATGGTATGACATTTATGTATGGTTTGGTCTGTAAGACCTGCTAATTATTGGTATGGAACAAAGTGCTACTTGGAACTAAGTGCTACATTGTGAGCCACCTCTAGAATCCGTGTGAGACACCTCTTGAGTTCATATATCTATATGTACAAGGGCTATATGCCACCATGTTTAAGGGCTCCATGCCATATGTTCAAGGGCTATATGCCATTATGTTTAAAAGCTTAATGTTAATGTGTTCAAGGGCTTAAAACCATTATGACTCACGACTGGGGCCTAAGGCCATATAACATGAAAACAGGAACAGATTAACTACATGATCTTCGCATTTATTTATGCATTGTTATGTATTATGTTTTAATTGTGCATTTATGTATCATACTATTCACTGAGCTTGGCTCACCCTATGTTATGTCTGTTTCTGTAGGTAACCAACCAAGTGGTCAATCCTAAACCATGACGCTTGTCCTCTTTGGTCAACCTTTCCATGTCCAAGCCTAAGAGAAGCTGCTCTTACTTTCATGAAGTTTAATGACTCGTCTCTGAGTGGCTTGTGATATGCACTTTGCTCAAGGAACTATGTAACTGAACAAGTTGAACATGGCCCTTCTAATGAGAATTTCATATGACTTACTAATATTAGATTGATCTAATTATGAAAGTAATGAAGAACAATATTTTATGGCAACCGAAATTAACGTATGTTATGGAAAAATATGAGGAATATGCTTTAAGAAATGATATTTATTATGTCTTTATGTGCGTATATATCCGATATTCAGGTGTATGTTTTAGATTTTATTTGTCTGTTTAAAGTTTGTGATCCTGGCATGATAGTAGTAGCTCAATGGAGTTTGCTTCTATTGTCAAATTTTGATATTTAATGCTTCCGTTCAGGCCCCATATATTATATATATAACAGGTTAAGTGTCCGTTTCTGAAGTGGTCATGCCCAAACTTTTAGGGGCGGGTTTGGGGTGTGACAAGTGGTATCAGAGCACGAGTTGCCATCTCACACACGAATCCATTGAGCTTTAGGATGTCTAGAAAGATTTAGGCCTCATGCATAACATCCTTAGTGCATATGAAAGAAGATGATGGCAACGTTAAACGCAAGCTGTTAACGCTAACGATTCTGATTTATGTCGATTGGACATTCCATGTGCATATTGCGATTGCTGGTTGTGCAGAACATGGTGAGAATAAGGATAGAGATCCTACCTTTGGCTGGTTAAATAGAATGAAAAGGAACAATGGTTGGTAAGGCAATTTATATGTAAATGCTTAAGTAAGGTGTATGTTCTCAGTTGTTATTTTTGGATTGATAGTTACCTATCCTCTGTTTAGACGAATTGCGTAAACATTAAACGTTAATAATGGTTAGACCTATGATTTTGAAAAGCTAGCGTATTAGGCATTCTGATAAGTTGTGTTTTGCATGATCGTTGAATTATGTTAACTGTGATCGGCCTATGTATGCAGGATTCTCGAGGTTAATTGAATATAATTTTGTTTTTACCAATTGTTAAGATGGATAAGGAAATTGACTATTAATCTTGAACCGACTT